AACTGGATGGGTATTTTATCCCTAGAAATAAACGAAGAAATCCTGAGGACGCAACACCGTTTTATGACTTGGGACGTCGCCGTTTACTGTGATTAAATGGGTATATCCTCACCAGGACATTAGGAAGACATATCCCAGGGAGAAGGTGACATCATTCTCGGGATGGGGTGGAAATCAGCAACCCAGGATGTCGTAGCTACAATGGCTATTATATAATATCCTGAAAACATTTATGGGCTTTTCTGAAAAGACATGGGTTATGAAATTGGGATGTCCTAAGGGAACTGTTTGCTATCTGGGAACTAGCATATACATGAAATGGTTTGAAGTTCACAAGAAGTTCCGAGTTTGGTTGAGATACGTTAACGACACCGTCATAATATAAAACCACGGAGACACATAACTGTCACCCTCTCGTAGCATATCAACAACGTTATACCTTCCACAACAGTTAAAAAAGTGAACAATGAATTACCGTTTCTTCACATCCTGGTGAAGGGGACCAACATCAAGTGGGAAATATCAGTATACCGAAAAATCGGGAAAGTATTTGAATTGCGAATTGTACCACCACCAGCCTAACAAGAAAGGAATCGTATTCTAAAAATACTTTATTGTGTGATTTTCACTAGACAGTTTTACAAAAACGCAACACGTGTTTCGCCATATATACATCGGGCGTGACACGCCCGAGGAAGCCATTGTATGCGTAACACGTGTTGCGTTTTTGTAAAACTGTCTAGTGAAAATCAAACAATAAAGTGTTTTTAGAATACGTTAGTTATGGATTTTCATCAAGTATCGGCCGATTCCATCATATATATATAAGGAAGCAAAGTCCCGACAAGGAACTACCCACATAGCAATAGATATTCCAGGTATATTTCATGAATATACATTTAAGGATATTGTATTTCGTCATAATATAAAACCACCGTAGACACACAACTGTCACCCTCTCGTAGCATTTCAACAACGTTATACTTTCCACAATAGTTAAAAAAGTGTACAATGAATTACCGTTTCTTCACATCCTGGTGAAGGGGACCAACATCAAGTGGGAAATATCAGTATACCGGGAAAGTATTTGAATTGCGCATTGAACCACCACCAGCCTAACAAGGAAGAAATCGTATTCTAAAAGCACTTTATTGTGTGATTTTCACTAGACACAGAAGAAGCCATTGTATGGCGAAACACGCGTTGCGTTTTTGTAGAAATGTCTAGTGAAAATCACACAATAAAGTGTTTTTAGAATACGTTAGTAATGGATTTTCATCAAGTATCGGCCGATTCCATCATATATAAGGAAGGAATCGTTAAGACAGCAAAGTCCCGACAAGGAACTAGTCCCTGTCAGGATAGATCTTCATCAAATTGCTTACACCAAAATCTGGTGTCATAATACAAGAAGAACCCCGCGAAAAATAGAGGATGTCACAGTTGATGCCATACCTTACTTATGTCAGTGGACTTTCGAAAAAAAAAACAGAAAAAATTGGATCTACCCGTAAGATAATAACCTTTTCAGATATGGAAGATACCACAATCGTCCTCGTAGTCAACGTAAACACTACTGAATATGTTTGCCGCAGTAGCAGGCGAAACGTTTAGTATTACAAACTCTTTTCCGATATCTACTTGCCCCAAATTTGTTCTCCATAGTGTGTAATCAATTTATTAGGTCATTTTAATTTTAGATCACATTAATTTATATTCTTTACGAACCATCGTTCTCATATTTTTTTTAATTGCATACCCATTATTTATCTTATTTATCCTTCTCCTGAGAAGAAGGAGAAAGTCACCACACCTTCTCTCTTCCAACACATATTGGCAACAGGACACAACCAGCAACGTGGAGATCCATCTTATCACTCCACATAATCAAATAGACCTCACAACTCCAAACGCGAAACTTAACACGTGATAATCCAGGTATAATGACAAAAACTCTTGATAGCAAGTCCCACGCTCTCTATAATATGATTAACTTCTTGTATATGAACCAATGGAATATCTTGAATGACTCAAATAGGCTCTTGGACCTGATCATTTCCAATTGCTGTGTTATCTGCTCTTGGTAAATTGTTCGAACAGGTAATATATGCTAAAGTGTGACTCAAAGTAAAGAATTTATTAAATGAAGAAGAGCACGGCTTTGTGCCAAAAAAGTCGACTTCCACAAATCTTTCATCTTTTAGTCATGACGTACTTAGAAGTCTGGAAAATTATACTCAGGTCGACGTGATATACACAGATTTCCAAAAAGCGTTCGATAAAGTAAATCATGATGTATTGTTAAATAAACTTTCTCTATGTGGAGCTACTGAAGGAACTATGAAATTTTTAGCATAATATTTAAATAAGAGAACGTTCAGAGTGAAATTTGGTACCAACTATTCAGATGAGTACCAGTCAAAATTAGGAGTGCTCCAAGGATCACATCTGGAGCCTCTATTGTTTCTTTTGCCGATGACCTTAAATTTTATAGAAAAATAGATTGTGTTCAAGATTGTAGTAAGCTACGAAAGGATATTGAAAATATTTACCAATAGAGTGCGAAAAATAAGTTACCATTCAATACGTCAAAATGTATTGTGATGACTTGCACAAGAAAGAGAGATAAAATAGAGTATGCATATGAAATGGAAAATATCAAGTTGGCACTTTTAAGTAATGTTGAAGATTTGGGGGTACGATATGACTCGACCCTGTCATTCAAAAATCACATTGAAATAGTAGTCTCTCAGGGTTTGCGGAGTTTGGGTTTTGTTTTGAGGTTAGGCAAAAGTGTTTTTATTCATTTCATATAAGTGATCATGGTAAAGTTGATGATGATTTTGCTAAAGCATTTGATCGACTTGATCGCATGATCCTTCTACAAAAACTCCAGCAATTTGGTTTCCATAATTCAGCAGTACTTTTGCTATGATTCTTTTTATTAAAATCTTTCATCTAGACTACCTCAAGGGTCGAATTTCAGGCCACGTATATTTTTATTATTTATTAATGACCTCAGTAATTATTTCGATTGCAATGAGTTATGTTTTGAAGATTATTCAAAGATATATTCACCTGTCGACACTATCGAAAACTATAATACATTGCAACGACAGTTAAAAATATATAGACATGGTATGAAGTTAACAAACTGTATCTTAATGCATTCAAATTTAAAGTACTGTCTTATAGTAGGAAAATGTCAGTCATCGAGTTCAATTTTCGAGTGAATACCATTTCACTGTCACGAAATAACTGAATTCTGATCAAAATTTGTCTTTTCCCAACCATATTAGATCGAAAGTAAATGAAGCATCGAGAGTTTAGAGCTTTATAATTCGCAATTGTAGATCTTTTTCAAACATATGTGCTCTATTTACTGATTATCTAGCCTATGTAAGGTCATAATTAGAATATGACTCTATTCTATGGTCTCCATTCTACAATTGCTATAATACATTAATTGAAAAAGTTCAACGTCGTTTCCTAAAGTTTATTTACTTCATATCTGATGATATCTATCCTGATAGAGGTATTCCATATGAATGTCTTACCATAACATTCAGTGTGTAAATTACTGCACAGCAATGTGGAAGCTATGGAAGTGTTATCTCTTATAAATTTCTGTGTGCCTCATTTTAGAACTAGAAGTACAAAAACTTTTTACGGCCGACTGGCCAGAACCAACTTGTACCTCAAGTACCTATCTTTAGCATTTGCAATAATTTCAATTTAATTTTAAATCAATTTTGATTCCATAGAATAAATTGTTTGAACTGCATCTCAGTATTTCATGAAGAACTTTTTATATTCTGCTATACTTTTTTAACATACTTAGTTAACCCTATAAATGGTTTTTAACTGTTGGGTGATAAAGGCTATTATCCATAGTTTGCGCTGGTCAGGCCCTATCCCCCGAAGCCCCGATACATTCGGGGAGGCGCGCCAGCATTATCAACCAAAGACCACTCCTCACACTGTGGGATATGTGATCATTAGGTCCGAGAATCATGTGCTCTGAGCAAGCGCAGTGAGCCAAGAATGACAGCCTTCTGCATCTGTGCGGCTAAGATTTCTGCCTTAGTGCGGCAAGCCGGTATGATTTTAAGATTCGAGAGTAGAGAGGACATCATTCCACCAAGGACTCNAGCAACCTAGGTGAATGGTACCAACCACTCCTATAAATTAAGAAACAAAGTTCAAGTTAATCAGTCTAGTTCTAAACTCCAGACATAGCCAGAAGATGGCAAATAAGACTTTGCCGAAACGTTGAGGAAATAATCCTTGTGAGGATCAAGAACACAGAACAAGAAGTAACATCCGGAAAACCAGCTATGTGTGTATGTACCTACTTGTGATGCACTGTTTGGAACACTGTATATTATTATTTCTGGATTAGTACGATTTTTTGCGATTTCTTATCATAAGAACTCTGAGTCAAAACTGATGCCATTATTATTAATTTAATTCAGAAATTGTGTGAATGATCGCAGAACAAATCCATTTCGAGAAATAGATGTGAGAATATTCTAAAGGAAGGAAGCAATCGATTTCAAAAAAGGTATCTATATACAAAGAACTGTAGGTCATGCAGTGAAGTAACTTTCAAATGCAGACAAAGTGGAAGAAAAGCCATTTCAAAACAGCTACTTTCTTATAAACATTGAAGTACACGAAAGAAAAGTACTTTCGAAACAAATACTTTGATATAAACACTGAATTATACAACAAACACTTTTCTCTATTCAGTTTGCATTCCAAACATTCAATTTGAATCTATTTCGTTTCGTCGACAGACCGATGAGTCGCCTGAGCGGAAACATGGTCCTCATGGTTGTCCAAAATCAGTAAGTCACTTGTTGTCTGAAAAGATTTACGTGAGACCTTGTTCAGAATCGACTCGGCTAACTATTCTCTGATTTAACAATCTGGAAACAAAATAGAACAGGCCCATTACCATGGCAACTGTAAACAGGTGTTCCAAGCAACATCAACAGTCATCGCGTCAATATTGAAGTGTCAAAACTGAGAAGTGACGATTATGAGTGAAATCAGTGCGGATAAACTTTACAAGAGTTCGGTAGAGTTCGATGGCGTTCCAAATGAAGACGAAAACATCGACGATGTGCTCGAAGAAGAGGAACGGCCCTTCTCGTATTTCGATATCTTGGACGCTCCAAGATCATTACCGGATCCCGTCGAACTTACTTTCGAACACCTCAAAGAGGTCGGGTACGAGCTCGGTTTGATAAAACTGTGTTGGCCGGACATTATTCATCCGATTTTTGAGAATCGCACTAACTTTCCAGTTAGGTATTTGACGAATAACGATAAGGAACGAGCGATTTTGCTTTACGCGGAAAATTTCAGAAGACAATTTTGTTACAAGTTTAAGAACAGGAAAGCCTTGTTTTTGGCTAGTGAAAATGAATGTGGTGTACAGGTGAGATTTACGGATCGTTTTTCTTCTTGGGTTCACAAATGGGTTCATTATAACTTCCAGAAGTAGTAGAAAGATTGTTAAATGATTTACAAGGAACGAACAAAATTTGCTTGTAAATAATTTAGTACATTTCTCAATAGAGTATAATTAAAATATGCTGCAATAAATCCAAAATAAGCACTTTTTCCAAACACTAGAGCTGCAATTCTCTTCTCGAAGCGCTTTTCAGCAACCAAAATGGCGTCTTCAGGAGATAATAATAATAATGTTTATTTTATACGATTGGATACATATACATATAAACAAGAAAAAATGCATAAAAAACATGACAAGCCACTGAAGCTCATATAGAGCTTGTGTATGACAAGAAAACTGAAACAATAAACTAAATTGAGACGTTTTGTGTGTGATGTAAGTTGAAATCGAAAAATAAAAAAAATCCAATATGTTCTCAATATGGTCCTTGATTACTGCACATTTCTAGAGTTGCTGACTATTCTANTATTTGCACTTGCTGTTCTTCCGGAATGGACGGATGACCTGGGGGCTTTTTGTTATCTACCCTACCGGTAGTTGTGAATTTGGATACAAGTTCCCTCAAATATTTTCTACAGATAGAACGATTCGGAAAACGTTCATTGAAAATCCTTTCGGTGTCATGAAAGTTACGCGCCGCACCGTATATACAAATCGCTCCATTTTTTACTTCCAATGGACGAGAATTGACCATTTTCGAGATTGTTGACGTGGTACCTTTCTACTAGTAAAACCGAGAAGTAAATGAAAATGATGTTCACTGTCGTACTTTTGTCGTTTTCATAAAAAAAAACCTTATCGGGTTGTTGGAATTGCCATATGGCAGATAAAAAAGAATATTTCTAGAAATATCTATATTAATATTATGTTTGTCTTTAGGAAATTATTAAATTGTTACGCCATTTTATAGTAGGTGAAGATATTGACTTCATATTCTAGAGTTGTGAAGTTTTCGTCAGGAGCTTCAAAATGATGTGTCACAAGACAGCCCTTTCTGATTATTTTTTCCCAGATGGCGCCCAGTCGCCATCTTTGAAGTTTTATCTGTTAATTTCACTTCAAAATGAAGTATTCATGCCTTAATTTCATTATCACAAATTTAAATTTTTTGAGTTGACCAGTTCAAAAAATAAAAGGGGAGGCATTAATGAAATGCGTAGTATTAGTTAGCCATAATTTCAGTTCTTCTTTAAATCTGTTATCACTTGTAATAAACTATATTTCAAATGGAACTTCTGCATAAGTAATAGGGCACGAGTATGTGAGAAATCGTTGACTTCGAGATGTGTTTACGTTAAGAACCCTTGAAGTTTTTTGTTTGAATCTGGTATTGTGCAAATGATCCACAGTCAATAATTTTGTTTCATATCTTTTATGATACTTGGAAAGTATAGATGTCTACATTTAAAAAATTTAGATTCTGTGAAAAGTGTTTCAGACGGATAGGTATAATCTCTATTGAAAATAATTTTGATGAGAAATTTTTGAGTGACGTTGGTAACCCTGAGATGATTATCAGTAATACCTCCCCACACACTTATTCCATAGTTGATATGGGACTGTACTAGACTGAAATATAATGTTCGTAGCTGTGCTATATCAAAAATCTTTGTGAAAAACTTAAATTTATTCGCAACATATTCTGCGTGCTTATTCCATCTTACATTTTCATCTATTGTTATGCCAAGATATTTTATATGTTCTTTCTAGGGTGTTTCAAATTTGATCCTCACCATTGGCATCTCGGAAACTATGAGATACGAAGATGGTTAAATTGGGGCAATGTTGCGCATTTACCTTACCAACAATAAGCAGTTGAGAAAGTTCTGAAATTCCGAGTATATCTGGAGATATCCGGAAAAAACCGAAATTTCAGAAGATGGTTTTTATTTACCTTACCAACAATAAGCAGTTGAGAAAGTTCTGAAATTCCGAGTATATCCGGAGATATCCGAAAAAAACCGAAATTTCAGAAGATGGTTTTTATTTTTTTTCTGGCTTCATTTTTCAAAGAATTCGAAAATAAATTGTACTTCCACATTGCCACTTTTTCTCTACTACATAATAATGTTTTCAGATTTGCTATCCGACGTTTCGTCTTCCGACCACCCTCATCAATTTTATTTTTTCTCATGAGCGCTACATTGGATTCGTTCTGTTTTGAATTGAACCATATTTTACCTTTTCAATGATGTATCATAAGTTATCATTCTCTTTCGAAAAATTGGAGATATTGAAAAAAATTAATTCTTATCATAATAGGCTTTGACTTTTGATGTTTGTAAATGCGATTTTCAATTTGTTACACTCAATGACATTTTGTGATTGTACAAGTCATTGAATTTTTGGTGAAAAATGGCTTTTACGAATGGAGAAAAAAGAAATATGATACAAATGTATTACGAATACGATAGAAACACTGTTGGATCATAGGAAATGTATTTAAACAAATTCTAAGGTAATAACGATCTATAGTTGAAACGGTAAACGTAGTAGAGTGCATTCTAATGAAACTCTCTCAACGATATCAAAACATATTTCTTATTATTTTTTATAAAAATGAGTTTTGGGAACTACTCTACTAATATTTATTTAGTTGAGTAGAAAAGCAAATTCTGATATGGTCACTTCGCAGACCTAGCTGTAACAGTTTATTCGTTGGGAACAACTAGAGTACTTTACCCGTTACCTCATCGCCTTTGATGATCACTACCGCAGTAGTAGACGAAGTGTCAGGCATTAAAACCTGTAAACAACCAGAAAACCCGGAGAAAAGCTTTGACAGTCATCTCCGGCCGTGAAAGTTTACATTGTTCATTAAGTTGTTGTGTCTGTTTGTTCCTTTTTTATGAATGAACTCACTTTTGGCATTAACAACTGTTATTATTAATATTATTTCAGAAAATGGTATCGACAACAATTCGACCAACAACTCTCCCATACCTTGAACTAGAAACATGGGAAAGCTCTGCCAGGTTCGTTGCTGATCATCTCAAATATGAATGCCTAGAAGATCCTATTTTATTGGTGAGTGATTTCAATATGTATTCATTATTTCATGTGTCCCACTAATCAATAATCAATTTGATAAGTAATAAAAATATAATGATAGAATTCGGCAAACCAATCACTTTGCCAATCAAATGTACAAAATCAAATAATTAGACGCAAATAGAAATCATCACCATCAGATTCAACCTCTATACTTTTTGTCATGATGAATCAAGCAATGAATTTAGCAATTTTTTCTCGTAGTCATTTAAAAAAATGGGTAAAAAAATAAAAGTTCACTTGGATGGCCATGACTTCAGATCTAGATGTATTTTTCAATGCTGAACAACTTTTCTAACTACCATTTCTCGAGATTTTTCAATATAAGAGTACTTTACTCAAATATTTGAAGGCTTCTCGTATATTACGTGTTTTACTGTATTTTGTTGGTGCATGTCCAGTTTTAGGAGTTGCACAAAGTTTTATCAGGAATAACTTTTTGTCGAAAAACCCTTAATAAATAAGTTTACCATATGGTGCATATTTTGGGGCTGACACTGTATGAAATCATCAGATATATATTCCATTTTATGACAGAAAAATATGACAAAAATAAAAGGAAAAATAATATACGGGCGATCTGAGATATGGAAGTGGAAAGGGGTGAGTTTTCACGGGTAAAAAACGGTTTATTACGATTTCTGGCGAAAATAAAATTCCTACGGAAAAAGTTGAATTGCAATAAAAAGATCTACAACTTTTGTATTCACACTTTTTTCACATAACTTCGAAATTCATGCCAATTATTGAAATAATTGATTTTTTTGGTTTTTTATTTTTATCTCCTACAAATTTTTTTAAACATTGATTTTTTGGATATAAAATATTTATTTTTTCCCTTATTTTGATTTAATATCGAAAAAGCACCCTAATTTTCAATCGAAAATTATCACGTCGAAATATCTGTTTTTTTTAATCGTATGCTTCTTGCTTGTTGAAATCTCTACTTTTCGTAAAAACATTTACATAACTGTTGCAAATCTTCTCAAAAAATGCAAAGAACGATAAAACTTCAATCCAAAAAAATTTTTTGGATTGAAGGAATATGTCCTCATATTCCTGACGTGCATACCATAATCAGTTTGAACCTCGTTTTAAAGACTGAGTTTGCTTCAACGTGATAAGACAAGTCGCTTTTTTCAAAACTTCAAAATAACCTATTAGGGAAGTGAGTGTTCCACGTATGTGATATTTTATGTCAATATATTCCATATACCTATTACACATACAGTATGAATGACCGAATATCCCGGAATCAAAAGAATTGTAATGGAATCTATACTAATAGTCCAAGATTCAAGAGCGATCAGACATAACTTATTCTCACATAGATGAAACCTTAGGTTCTCATCAGTAGCGTCCCATGTTCTTTGAATACCTGCGTGCTTGTAGAGCTCGCCTCGTGACACCTGGACAGGTACCAGGTAAGAAAGGTAACTAAAAATAAGAGTTACTCAACTTACATTTACATGGCTCATTCTAATATATGTTTTGTAGAATAGTATTCTAAAGTAGTATCATAATTGTAAGACACTTTCCATGGACCAAAATTTTTGTCAGACGCTTCAAAAATCCACAAAAAATTAATGAACTTTACTTATTTTCACATGTCTGATTTTTAAATGTATCATAAAGGTAAGTAACTATTACGAAGTTATATTTCATTAGTAAGACAAATTCTAGACCAAACATCCTCTAAACACAAACATTATTCAACCGCTCACAGAGCACCAGATATTCATGGAATATTCCCTCTATATCATAAAACGAACGTATATATTCCAAATATTCATAGCATATTCTTAGAATCTATACATGCCTTTAGAATATTCATAGAAGATGTTTGAATTAATATGGCAGCATTATTCCCAAAAGAATGTGCATAGAATGTCTATTAATGGATTATTCTCCCGTGAATATTCTAAGAATATTGTCGATCGAATATACCATATGGTATATGGTTTATGGTATATCCCCAGGGTATATTTCGAAATATTCTAAACGGTGTATTACTGGAATTTTGAATTATTTTATGATAACGTATTCAAATAATTCGAAATTATTAATAACAAATATATTTGAAAATTTTAATCGAATTAATAACTTAATGTGTATAACCAATAGTGTTAACCAGATTTTGAACTCATCGCGAAGATTCTGATGAATTGCTCCAACTATTGAAAACGACAAAAAATTCGAATGGTCAAATTTGTCTGTCTGTTCAGGCAGACAGATTTGAACATTCGAATAAATGAATCAATTGCATTAATAAATCGGATTATTCTCATCCTATTTTTCTTTTTGTATTTGAAATTATTCAATTACAAGGCGACAAATCCTGGCAACAGAGAAATGGGGACGTGAAGTATTGTAGACATTCTTCAAATTCTGTTTCTTGAACATTCAGATTGATGGATTTATATGTTTCAACTTTAAATTGTGCCACTTCTGCAGGTTTTAGTACCTCAATTCTTCTTCTTCTCGATATGACCTCTTCTCCCCGTATAGGTTTGAAATGTTAGATCGAAGGTTTTTCACGGACAGGAATATGTTGAAATGATTCTTCGGGTTTGTTCCGTGTGGTGTATTGTCATCCTCGGTGAGAATGAATTTCGCAACGTTTCGACAAAATCACATTTGTCATCATCTGTCGGTTTTTTTAAAGTGTTCGGAAGTCGTCTGACCCTATTCAGATGACTTCTTACTGTGTGGGTACAATGATGTTACATAAATACCTTTCTTGATTACCTGAATTTGGTACCTGAATATTTTAGTACCTCAATTCTTCTTGTCCTCGATATGACCTCTTCTCCCCGTAAAGGTTAGAAATGTCTCTTCTCCCCGTAAATGTTAGAAATGTTAGGTCGAAGGTTTTTCACGGACAGGAATATGTTGAAATGATTCTTCGGGTTTGTTCCGTGTGGTGTATTGTCATCCTCGGTGAGAATGAATTTTGCAACGTTTCGACAAAATCACATTTGTCATCATCTGACGATTATTTGTTAAGTGTTCGGAAGTCGTCTGACCCTACTCCAGCGCTAAGCGATCTACATAACGCACTGAACAGGGATGACCCCAGATTCCGAGAGAGGGACAAACACAGGAGGCCTACGAAGCAGAACCAGAGACCACCCCCGAGAGTCGCTATCAGGCGGCTCCGGTAAGTATAAAAATTTCTCAACTAGATTTGAATTCATCTCATTTTAGATTCACTGAGAAACAAAACTCGCTCGCGACATAAAGATACTCGTCTCCGGTTAGTTTTTAGGGACCCCATGCAAAAATTCAGTTAGGAAAGTCAAGATAAAACAATACAATAGATCAGAAAGTAAAAGCACCTAGAGGCTGACTTTCGACCAAAGAGGGTCAGATGTCAATCTTGCTGAAGTGCCCATCAGTAAGTTGAGGACCGCTCCGGAGGAGCGGGGGTGGATGGACGTGATAGGATGTTCTTCACACAGTAACCGTGTGGGGAAGATTTCAACTCAGGGCACTCAACCTGGGAGGGGGCATTGGGGAAACTGCTTTCAATTCAATATTTTTGCATTCCTATTTAAATAATATAAACTTATGAATACAAACTTATAAACTTTTCAAAAATGATACACGATCCTCACTGTTCCCGGTTTATTTCAAGACTGTCTATTATTCACTTATTAGTTATACAACTCGATATCGACGATGCTGGTGAATCATATAGCGAGTCATTGCAGTTGCCTTTGTTCCCTTGAACAGTCGTATCGCCAGTAAATTTCCTCCTTTTTTTTTAACTTTTTCATTGTTTCACTTCTTTTCTCTGTTTTGGATGAAGCATTCACTCCTAAAGTTCACTCATTCTGTAAGCACTTAGAGAATGTGCTTTCTTGTAGTCATTTGAAAAAAAAATGGGGGTATTGTATACGACAGAAAAGTGAAAATATTAAAGTATCTTTCTTGATTTTTTTGTGATATGCTGCAATTAATCGCAAAAACCACATGATCGATATGAATTCGAAATTCGAATTTTGGTGTGAAAATTTGAATTCATGCCTTATTTTAGATTATAAACATCATTCACAAATCTTTGTGTAAAATAATAATGGTACCTACTTCTTTCACGAAACATTTTCGCAACCCCTAAAATTTATTTCCAATGTAACTTTTTGTCTTATTATTTGATTACCATTTGAAATGTATTTCCGATAGCCTGTTTCATTCTAAACAAAAAATGTCTTTTGG